TTCGTCTCATGTGCTTTGTACGTGTTATCAGGAGGGACCATTCCCTGGAGAAGGACATCATGCTATCAGGCTTGATTTAGTAGAAGTTCAGCAAAAAAGATGGATTGGCACAATGGCTGCAACAGTGGACTCAAACGTAGCAACGATTGTGAGGTTTGGGCAAGAGCAGACTCAGTGACACCTAACAATGATAACAATATAGATGGTAATTCAAAATAACAAGTCCTGAAGGAGTTAGGATTAAAAGAGCATTTCCACAGCAGGAGAGGTTATAAGATGACTCATTGAGGAGGAGACTGCTTTGTACACCACGGTCCTCTTATTCAAAAGGAAAATATATTTTTTTAAATCCCTTCAAATATTTCACTTGGTGATCCTCTAAGAGAAATTAAGCATTTTGGATTTAAATGACTGAATACCTAATGTGTTGATTCCGACTCATAGCAATCCTATGTACAACAGAATGTAACACTGCCGGGTCTTGCGCTATCCTTACAATCGTTGCTATGTTTGAGCCCATTGTTGCAGCCAGTGTGTCAGTCCATCTCGTTGAGGGGCTTCCTCTTTTTTGCTGACCATCTATAACAAGAATATCCCGGATCATGCCTTACATTCACTTGTCATATCTCTTAAGTATGGAGCAGTTCATGAGTCTTTGTATTTTATGACACTGACTTTTTTTAAAAGTTCAAGCCAGTTATTTGCATTATCCCTTGATTTGGTTTTGTCTGATATCTTCATGATTAAATTCAAAGTATATACTTTTGGCAGGAATGTCACAGATAATTGTGTTAATCCCTGTGCATCATATTAGGAGGCACATAATGATATTGATTTGTCCTATTTCTAGTGACAGTAACTTTGCTTGCTTGGTTAAAGTAGTTTATCTATGGGGTATTTCCACTGGGAAGTTATTTTTCTGCTTGTAATTAATAATTATCTTGTGGGGAGATACTTGGAAACCATGTAAATATCCTGTTCTGATATTTTCACCCACTATTTTTAGCAGATTGGTTAAGCACTCGACTATTAACCAAAAGCTTGGTGGTTTGAACCCACCCAATGGCTCCACAGGAGAAAAGACTTAGCTATCTGCTCCCATAAAAATTACAGCCTAGGAAACCCTATGGGGCAGTTCTACTCTGTCGTAAAGGGTTACCATGAATTGGAATTGACTTGCCGGCACACGACAACTCGTTTAGCATCCACTGATGATCTTAGCTGAAAGAGTTACTCTATGGTAGTTGCAAATGGTGATTTTTTTTTAAATTCCATCTTGTTTCTACATTTATTAGCTGGCTTTCTGTAATAAGGAAAACTTCCCCTTCTTTATTCTTTTTTTGCGTCAGTTTAATCACAGTGATAACTCTTTTATGAGTTATTATGTGTTACTGTGATTTATTTTTTATTGACTATTTTTTATGATTTCATTTGATCTCTTATTGTCTTATAAAGTTTATAATATACATCTTTAATTATCACAGTCTAACTTCAAGGAATATACCACTTCACATATGCGGTAAGAACCTTACTACAGTAACTTCAGTCCTTTCTCCCAGCCTTTGTGCCGTTGTTTGCATACATGTTTACTTCTTTAATACAGTTTTAAATTGTTTTTCTTTTAAGTGTAGGTATCTTTTAGAAGTTTAAAAAATGAGAGGAAAAAGTATTTTATATTTACCCACGTGTTTACCATTTCTGGTGTTCTTCAATCCTTTCTGTAGATTCAGATTTCTATCTGGTATCATTTTCCTTCAGCCTAAAAGACTTCCTTCAACATTTCTTGCAGTGATATTCTGTTAGCAGTGGATTC